GCTAGTCCCAAAGAACATTAACTATTGAGGGCAGAATCAATCAAATCAAGTTAAAAAGGCTCACAAGTTGAATAAAACACAGTTCTCTTTGTATCTGATGTGGAAACCGTATCAGGAAAAAGCCAACATAATTTCATTTAATAAAGCCAGCGGCTAGAGAGACAGTAAGCAGGTAAAGCACTAGCTAGCCCAGGTTCAACCCCTGGGACCCCAAATTCCACCAGAAGTATCCCTCAGTGCAGAGCCAGGAGTAAACCCTGAGCACTGCCAGGTGTGATCCAGAAACAAAAATTAAAAATAAAGCCAACACATGGTCTCTCTATGGATGGCTCCAAGTCCACCCTAGCATTAGAAAGAATTACAAGGCAGCCACGTGGGGGTTACTTATAGGACCCCTTTGCATCTAAAGAAATGTTCAATAGAAATATCACAAGAGGCACAAAGATAAATTTAAATTTTTTGGTAGTCACTTTAAACATAGGAAAAATGGGCTGAAGATACAATACAGGAGTTAAGGCATTTGCCTTGGGCATGGCTGGCCCCAGTTAGGGTTCCTGGAGCACTGGGGATGACCCCACACCCCACATCACTCAGAAAAGAAAGAAAAATGAATTAGTGGCTGGGGGTATAATTCACTGGTATAGTGCATTCTTTGGGTTTAGTATCTGGCACAGGCAGGAAGGAGGGAGAAACAAAGGGAGGAAGGGAGGAAGGGAAGAAGAGAGGGAGGGAGGAAGAGAGGGAGGGAGGAAGAGAGGAAGGGAGGGAGAGAGGGAAGGAGGGAGGGAGGAAGGGAGGGGCAAAGTGAGGGACTGAGGGAAGGATAGAAGGAGGAAAGGAGAGAAAGACAAAAATAGTAAATTCCCAAATTTTTATTTATTTCTGGTTTTATGATGGTTTGGTTTTGGTTTATGTTCTTGCTACACCTGGTTACTCAGGGCTTACTCCTGGCTTAGTGCTCAGAAATTACTCCCAATGGGCTTGGGAAGCCACGTGGGACACCCAGGATTGAAAGCAGGTTGGCTGTGTGCAAGGTAAACACCCAAGTGCTGTAGTATCTCTTTGCCCCACCTTTATTTTTTTTTAACTTTTTAACTAATACTTGGTCATTAGAATTACAGAATCCCATCAAATCCTTTTCAGATAGTTCACAGCTTTCTTGTGGGGGGGCAGGAGAGAAGCCGGGGACACTGGTGGTGGGAAATGCAGACAGGTGGAGGAAAGGGTGTGGGAACACTGTATGACTGAAACCCACTCATGAACATCTTTGCAATGGTACATCTCATGGTGATTTGATAAAAGGAATTTACTTAAAAAAATAACAATAATAAATCACCATATCTTGGGATAACAAAACTAAGCATAAAATTTTAAATCTAAAGACCCAAAATTATTAAAAAGTAAAATTGAAAATATGCATATAAGCGATTTGTATAAAGAAAAATAAGGCAGTTTCAGCCAAGATTTGACGTCAAGAAGTCACACCGCAAACCATCACACACCTTGAACCAGTTGCTTAACCCTCATGAATATGTATCCCCATCTGTATTAAGGATGTTTAATGAACCCTAACCTTAATATAGTTATCACAAAGATTACACAAAATACAACCTAATAATTAGCACAGTATCTGGATGCTAATAAACACTCGCTGCCAAATTCTTAGCCTCTTTTATGTACAACAGAATAATTCTAATCGTAGTTTCTAAGTCCTACATCAACATGAAAGAAACCCTACGACCCCCGATTTTCTCCCCGTTCATCTCAACTTCGGATGGGGCATGAGCAGGGGACCGCTCTGCTCGACACGACTGAGAACAAAGACTGGTAAAGAGCTCTAGTAATTGGTGTCAGCAGTTCAACCAGCCCATAACTCAGCAGCTCACTGACATCAAATACATAATAATGCCCGTATTAATGCGAGATTAGCACTTTGACCTGAGCCAGGCAGGCAAAGCATGGGAAGGGCAATAGAGAAAGGAACAGAAGGGAGAGCTCTACAGTGAAAGCAAGATGAGCGAGACACGGGAGACGAAACACAGGATATGGTGAATACAGAGATCTGGAAGCAGTTCTTCGTGCTGGAGCAAGACGGGAGAAGCAGGAGAAGAGTGGGTGCCGGAAGGACTTCGCAGAACGAGGGACGAGGGAGGGACCCGAGCCCTTAGCCTGCTGATGACGGAGAGAGCAAAACCCCAGGCTCACACTAGAAACCAAGCAACTGGCTTCAGAGCCAGAGAAAGGAAAAATGTGGCAACAGAAGACTGGAGATCTCTTTAAGTGGCTGACAAAAAAAAGATCACGACACTGATCTTATTGATCACCAGTGCCTTTCTGTCTAGAAAAGACAAGAGCACATGCACAGGATAGTACTGGTTTGTGCTTCCTCCTCTGCCACCAGGAGCTTAGGTTTACCGAGTAATACCATCACAGTGCTCCCGAGGCCCTCCCATTTCCTCCACGTTCAGCTTTAACTTCTTGTGCTCTGCTTTCTCTACTTACTTATCACTCATCTCCTCTAAGCAGGGACTTGTAAACTCAAGCTCTTCAGAGATCTCTGGATTTGTGTTTCTAAGTGAAATTCGCTCTTCTCTTTTCTTTTATGTTCATAGTTTACTTTATAGCAATGTCCTTTTTGTATAGACACAGGAAGACAGTTATGCTATGACTTTGTAACTTGGGAGTTAACTGACCCCAAAAAACTTCTGGGCCTCTGTCATATTTACTCAACTTAAGTCTCCGTTGTGCTTAGCTCCTAGCATCCCAAAAGCAGGGTCCCAACAAAAGGACTGGATGGACCAAGGCAAGCTGTGAGCTACCCTGGCGTGGAAACAGGACAGGCTAAGAGCCATAATACTTAACTATAAGAGCATGGTCATGGACAGATTCTGCCATGATCTAAAGAGAAACAACAGGACAAGGAACCTGCTTAGGGTTAGGAAGGGCTCATCTGGTCCGAGCACTGTAGTCTGGGATCTATAGTGAGATGTCCTCAAGAGAACCACTCTATAAGCTCAATGTATCTTTTACTGTGTCCATACAAAACGACTAATATTATTAAGAAGTAGAATTAAGATGAACGTTTAAATGGTTGTTGGACTAAGGAAAGGAGAAATGCGCCCCTAGACAAAATTCCGCCCATGAGCGCATCTCCTGGGGGGGGGGGGATCTTTGTCTTAGAAGAGCTTCCCCTGAAGGAAGGGAAGGGCTTTACATACGTTGGTTGTGCTACCTGACCTAGGGGTAGTTACTACCCCCAGTGCTTGGGGGTTGGGCTCTAGACCACGGCTGCAAGACAGAGCACTGGGAGGCTAGCGTGGGGGAGAGGAGGACTACGAGAGTGACTGAGACTGGAAGGAGGCAGAGGGAGACGAGACTGGAACTGCAACTGATCGCCATCCAGTCTGGTGGCCCTGTTCCCTCCTTGTGTGTCTATTGGTGGCGACTGCAGGCCAGGGTGGGGAGGCTCATGGCCACGGAATGCACGTGGCGGGAGAGGGTCCACAGACTTACTGATTCTGTGAACACACACACACACGGACAAAGAAACTGAACAAAAACCAAAGCACGGGTATTTCTTAAACATCCTAGGAAAAGAAATACTTTTACTGGGAAAATTTCTTCCCAAAGCAGGCCTTCCTAACTAACAGGAAAACAGGCGACCTGGTGCGGCATCCAAGCAAAATCACAATGTTATTTCATGTTCACGGAGCAGTACCCAGAGCCGCCTTCTCACAGGCAGAAGGCAGCTTAGAGCGGAGTCAAGTTCCTAGCGAGTTTCTCATCCTGATTCAAGTATCACAGGACTATTAAAAAGAGAACAATTCGAATCTCTCCAGGTACTGTCTGTCACGTGACTGACTTCACGGCAATTATTTTCAATTGAGAAAAGAGCCTTTGCAAAACCTACCAGAGGAACAAGCGCGAGAGAAGACAGCGGTGAGTTGGGAGGAACATTCTAGGATCAAGACTCCAAGAAGAAATTCTAGGGAAAGTCCAATTCTAAGGAAACCCAGTGGGAAAGCATTAAAAAGGGCCGTTTGGGTAATAAAAACGGAAATGGATACCCCTCCATGAAATCACATTGTTGAAATTTTATACCTTTTTAATTTTCTAGTCATAAGCTACAGGACTAAGGAGTACTCTAAATAATTGGTTGTTACAAATAAGAGAAAGCAAGTTGGAGTTTCTAAAGAAGCCCAGGTAATTACAGCTGCGACCCAGCATCAAAACGTCTTTGCTGGACACAGCTCATCACTGGTGTGCAGCTTCTTTCTAATAAAATTAATTTACCTGGGGCTACCATATTAAGTTATATCATTTCTCTCTAAAAGACCTGATTTTTATGAAAGCCAATCTCTACTTTCAGTTAGATAGATACAGAAAAAGACAGCCATATGCAGGAATTGTATAAAATGACAGCGTTCCAAAATTACTGAAAAAAAAAAACCCCTGCCTATCAGAAAATTTTAAGAGGCTACAAAAATTAAGCAAGACTAACATAAGATCAGAGGTAGAAAAACGTATTTCTATTCTATGCTGCAAAAAAGAATATATAAAAAGAAAATATAAATGTAGATGGGGTCATAAAAAAGTTATCAAGTATCTTCTAACCCCTGGACAAACAACAAAAAGATGAGATGAATTTCTCTCTGTGATCAAAAAGAAAGCCCTAAACTCTTAGTGGTGTTTAACTTATTTTGCAACTTTTTTACTTAGTTGGAAAAAGATGATTTGAGTAACATCTTTGATTAACTCTCAGAGTCTATTCATAACAGTACTTCTCTAAGATCTTCCTAGTATGTAGCACTCAATAAATAATTGCCAAAATATTTCTCTTTCCTGAGGAGAGTACATGGGCTCAGTATTACAAGTAGTAATTTTGCAGACTCTTGCTCAGTACACAGACCGGTTCCAAGCATCAATCGAATCACTGGGAAAAGGCGTCCACTTCAATAACAGCCTGTCTGCCTTGGTTACTGGCCCCGCTGACTTCTTACCTGTCCACTGAGGCGGGCAGCGGCAGTTGTAAGTGTTGACCCCGTCTACACAGACGCCCCCATTCTGACACTTGTGGTTCGGGCAGTCATCGATATTCCGCTCACAGGTGGTTCCTTCAAAACCTGGCAAGAGAAGAAGCCAAGAAACTGAGAAATTCTTGCGCACAAGTGAGCTCTACCCCCGCTAGCATGGTCAACGGTACAGAACTGCTTCACTATTTTGGCTCAGTAGTCAGCCAGCAACTGGTCAATCTAGGACTCACCGTCCAAACAATCCCCCAATATTCTGGCTTCTCTGCCCTCAAGCAAAATCAGACAGTAAAAGTGACTCACTCTGCCAATGACATGCCTTTAGAGTTACCTCACAAGCATGTCAAAGTGTCCATGGAGTAGAGTCCCAGTGAAGATAGACATCTGCTCAGAGGAGCTATTCATTAGATGGGTTTTTGTTTTGTTTTGTTTTATTTTAAAGGATTTTCCCTAGTTTCATGCTCGATTAATGGGAAAAAAAACAGATAAAAGATTACCTAATTCAATTTAAATTCCTTTTATGTTTTTTCTCAGGGTAAGTTCCCAAGGAGGCCTCCAGAATTAGGCATGGAGAGGGAGGCATTGGAAAAATATCCAAGGTAAGCACAGAAGAGATGGGTCCCGTTCTAACCTCCCCACTGACAAACTACTCAACATACGGTAAGTAACCAACCAGGAGTCACTTCCTCGCCTGTGAAATGAAGCTGAACCCACCTGCCTGGCCTGCCTTTCTGGCTGTAAGCGCCACAACATAAATCAGGTGCAATTCAAATATTACAAGCTATCTGAAATGGGTGGTGTAGTGCTAATTAAATTCCCGGCCCTTTAGAAGATTCGGTGTGCTCTTTTCTCTCCACACTGAGAACATTGTTTCCTGCCTCTGGATTTTCCCTTTGATGAAAAAATGAAAGGAACATACCAAACTTCAACCTAACTTGTCTGCAGCGTGTTTCTCTGTCATTTACATACCAAATTTTTTCTCCTTGATATTCATCCAGACTCTTAACTATTACATCAGAAGTGCCTTCTACTTTTGGTTGCTTTTTTTTTCTTGAGAGTCACGCCCAGCTGTGCTCAGGGGACCACATGGGGTGACAGGATCCAACCCAGGTCAGCTGCAGGCATGGCCTTTGCCACTGGACTCTCTCTGCTGCCCCAATACCTTTAAACTTTAAAATAAGAGACTATTCACAAGAATAATTCCCTTTTTGAAATATAGTAAGACTAAGTACTTGTCCTTTTAAAACATCCCTAAGTTTCCTGGACAAATGCCCTGCTCGCAACCTGGGTTCGATCCCTGGCACCTCATATTGTGCCCCGAGCAATCCAGGAGAGGTCTCTGAGCAGGGGGCTAGGATTAAGCCCTAAGCACCACCAGGTATGACCCCAAAACCAACATAAAATTAAATTAAATTAAAAATCCCTGAATGTCCTCTCTCACACTCAGAATGCTTCTTTGAGTCTTGCAGTAAGCACTCGGTATAGAATAACAAGTAAAGAAGAAAGGGTCCCTGCTTGTTATGGCATTTACAGTCTGGTGGGTGAGACAGACATCAACCTTACCTGCTGAATTCATCCCTTACCAGACGCTACTGTGGTATTTCGTAACTGCTCTGCTACACAAGAATAGAACTGGTTTCTCGAAATGCCACACAAGTCACTAGAAGTCACCACTTGGCCAAAACACTACCCAGAGAAAAAAAGAAATTGCTTCATAGCAGATGGAAATAACTGTTAGTTTTATAGACAAGAAATCTAGTTCTCTAGGTATTTGTTATTCAGAGTTCATCCAAGCAGATGATTCACTAAGTAACAGCTGAGAAAGACAGAAATTCCCCCCTGCCTACGCGAGTGTGAATGTGATCGCCGCCTGGACAGAAGCACAAGCTCTCCGGGGCTTCCTTTTCCCTGACGGGGCTAGGAAAAGCTCAACACCCCACAACCCTTAAGTAAGCAGGTTGGAAAATGAATTAATAAGCGAATGAATGAATAAATATAAATTGTTTAATATTAGAATCCTTGGGCCCTTCTATGTCCGGTGCTGTTTCTATAACCAAAATATGCCACAGGAACTGAACTCTTGATTTTACTAATTAGCCTCTTGCAAAACTGCAAAAGTTGGCTTAGTTATAATATAGTTTTACGGTGCACTTAAAGGTGCAGCTTCCAAAAAGCTAATATGTGAAATGAGGATTTAAAATGTATTAAACTACTGAATTACATTCTTTAAAGGAGCGAATCATGTTGCATGCAAATTTTATCCCAATAGAGTTGCTAAATTAATGGGAAGAACTGAAAATAGTGCCTGGTGAATATTTTTATACATCTTAGCTAGTATTATATCAATAAAGATCACAATGTCCCTTAGAGATTATATACTATAATTCTTTTAGGCTGCACCGAGCAACTGACTGAGCTGTCTAATTTTGCACTGACGGTAGCTGGAGTAGGCGTTGAACCAGAATCTCTACCCGGTTTTCAGGAGGACCGAACCCAGGGAACCCAGGATTCTCTTTTGGTCATCTGAAAAACTGACCTTAAGATAAAAGTTCCCATGGCTGAGAAAAGTTCAGCCAAATCAGTTTTCATCCAAAGTTAAGACAGGATTTATGCTTTAAAAATAGAGATACAGAAGTCTATTTTGGAAATAGCCAACAAATTCTTTTAAGAAAAAGTCTACTCAAGAGGTGGGGGGAGGGGATGGCCTCAGGGCTTACATGAATAAGTTACAGCGCAATCATTTCTTTAAAATATATTTTAAGGTTTTAGGGGAAAGGAAAACAGACGAGTGTCCAGACCGGTGGGTGGGATGGGTGCAGCGGATTTGCAGAGTGCTCACATGACTGCACGGAAAGGAGTCTGTGTCGAAGCCAAGCCATGTCCTTAAAAGGCTAAAAGGAGAGGAATTAAACTTAGAAGGAACATTTTCAGACTGTGCAGCTATAAAACCAGGGGCCACGCAACTGATAAATTACGACAGTGAGGGTGTGGAGCAGAAAGGACTCGCTTGAATTTGCCATTCCACACAGAGAATAGCTTCTCTCAAGAGAGGATACACACACACACACACACACACCACACACACACACACACACACACACACACACACACCAGAGACAGACAGACAGAGACAGAGTGAGACAGAGACAGAGAAATGAGAAAGCAGAGTTCTCTCAGGCCAGGCTGTAAGTATTGAGGAAAAGGTTCTGTGTACTTAGAGGAAGAGACAGAGAGAGAGAGAGAGAGAGAGAGAGAGAGAGAGAGGAAGAGACAGAGAGAGAGAGAGTTAGAGGAAGAGACAGAGAGAGAGAGTTAGAGGAAGAGACAGAGAGTTAGAGGAAGAGACAGAGAGAGAGAGTTAGAGGAAGAGACAGACAGAGAGGAAGGAAGGAAGGAAGGAAGGAAGGAAGGAAGGAAGGAAGGAGGGAGGGAGGGAATGAGGGAGGGAGGGAGGGAGGGAGGAAGGAAGGAAGGAGGAAGGAAAGAGAAAGAAAGAAAGAAAGAAAGAAAGAAAGAAAGAAAGAAAGAAAGAAAGAAAGAAAGAAAGAACAGGGATACCCGGAACTAGAGAAAAGCAGAAAACAGTCTAGGCCAACTTTGAGGCCAACTCCCACCCACACACCCCTTCTGGGAAGGATCTTGCCACAAAGGCTAAGTGGCCTTTTTTTGTCCGGCTGGTTTTCTTGGCACACATCCCCCATCCTGTGAGTGAGCTCAGGTGAGCTCATGGGCCTCCCTGTGCAGGGCCTCAGTCCCTACCACCACTCACCCCTACCCGTCACTGGCCCGCTGCTCTGGGAGCCTCCCTGGACACTCCTCATTTCACTTTCTAACAAGCTGGAGAAATGAGGAAATCGGTAAAAAGAAATTCAGAACATTACAAAACTTCAGGCTGTGGATATTCTTTTTCCCTATCACCTCCGGTCCATTGACTGGTCCCAGTTTTGTGTCGGGCACTGCTCAAGAGGGAAAGTTAGGTGTATCCCGTGGGGATAATGAACAAATCATCTATTTGGTATCTGCTGTGCTAGAGGAATAGAGATTGCCAAAAGGCCTTGGGAATCTTCGTGATTTTGTATGTCTGGGGCCCACACCTGGAAATGCTCAGGAGTGCTCCTGGCTCTGCACTCAGGAATTACTCCTGGCGGCACTCAGGGAACCATATGGGATGCCGGGGATCGAACCCGGGTTGGGCGCAAGCAGGGCAAGCACCTTACTTGCTGTACCCTCTCTCTGGCCCCAAGACGTGAGAGAGTATTTAAGCGTCCTCATGAGAGTAGACACTATTCAAAGGGGAGAGTGGAATTTTTTCCTTTAATGCATTTTTGAACTATCCTATTAACAAATTTATTAAGATTATTCTCTGGTTTACTGTGCTATCAATAATGGCTTCTCATGCACATTATTCCAGCAACACATGCTTCTCCAAGTAGGGGATTCTGAAGAAATTTTAGAAGTACAGATGCCTGTGAAAAGTAATAGATTAATTCCTTATTTACTTGTTTGGATTCTTCTGTTTGTTTGAGGCTACACCCAGCAATGCTCAGGGGTCAGCACTGGCTCTGCATTCAGGAATGTTCCACTGTACTATTGGTCTGGCCCTAATTCCTTATGCAAAAAAAGCAATGGAGGGATGGGAAAGGTGAAAGACCATGGAGGAGACAGCACGGGTGACCCTTTCCTGCGTGGAAGAAGAGCCAAGACTTGCAGGAACACCAAGGAAACTGGACTTGGGTCCCTAGTCCAAGACTCAAAAACGATGCACCCAGGAAAGCGAGCTGATCATTTCTGCATCTGCTCCAGGACCTGAAGGGACACCATTAGCACGATGTGTGAGATAACACGACGTGTCCCTGCCTATGAAAATGCAAGAGAAAATTTCTAAGTTCTTAAGCTTAACCACAGCAGGAGATACAAAAGCTTAAGGTTCACTTTTAATTAAACTTTCTTAATATTAATTAAAATAAATTTTAATTAAGAGAGATTAAAATTAATAGAGAGATGGGCTGGAGAGATACCGAGAGCAGCCCACCCGCACGGCAGAGCCTGGCAAGCTCCCCGTGACGTATTCAATATGCCCAACACAGTAACAACAAGTCTCACAATGGAGACGTTACTGGTGCCTGCTCGAGCAAATCGAACAATGGGAGGACAGTGCTACAGTGCTAATAGAGAGATTATCTACAATCAGCATGTGAAATGCAGAGGCAGACTGCAAGAAATAAACCTTCATTGTTTAGCGGGGACAGATCAAACAGCCTTCTGGGGAGCTAAAAGAAATACATAAAATAATCAAGGGGAACCTCGGAGACAGCTCAAGGGTTCGAGTACCCAGGCTAGCATGTGCAAGGCCCTTGCGTTCAAGCCCCTGCACCACAGAGCCTCTGGACAAACAAAATATGGGGGTGGAGAGATAATACAAGGATTAAGACACATGCCTGGTATGAGACCAACCGGTCTGAAGCCCAGCACCAAGTGGTGCCCCCAAGCACTGCCTGGGGCAGCCCAGGTCACCCTGCTGCCCACAAGCTAAGCAGCAGCGCCTCCTCGGGCCTGTCACTGCAGGGCTGTCCTGGCTGCAGAGAATCAACTCCAAGGCGGCCACCAAAACAATAAAGCAAAATGGCTCAGGTGACAGAGTCTTTTTTAAAATGATCAAGAAATAAGACGTGTGGGAGAGAAAGAAACAGAGAGACACCGAGGACTGTTGAATTCAACTGTGAACTCACAAGGCACAGCCTGTCCCAGTTGATTCTAAACCTCCCCCTGTTTGGAGGACTGCCTTACTCCATTAAAATATCACAGACCAAAAAAAAAAAAAAATCAGTCTAGCTCATTCTCTCACAACTACTTGGCCCTAACCCCACAATATCGGGATCCCACGAGCACAGCACTTTCCGTTCTGATGTCGAGCTGAGCGTCCCTCCTTCTGGATCTGCTGAAGCTTATAAAGGGGCTGGATTCCTGACAGCCGTCAGTGCAAGGAGATGCTGCATGGTTTTCTGGCTTAGCTCTGTGAGGTCACCTCCGAAGATACTCTTTTCCTTCCCTCTATGGAAACATCTTTCTTTGTCACACAGGAGGAGTCATTTTTGAAGTGTTCATTTCCCTCCTCATAAGCCTTACAATAACACTACAATTAACTCAGTTACTAAAGTGCCCTTTGGAGGAAAAGAACTATAACAGCACCATCTGGAAAGAATTATAGCAGACCCATCTGAATATAATCACTAACTTATGCGAGGTTCACCGACTTTCAAAGTTGAAAAAGACATTCTTATCAGTTGGTCTCAGAGCATACACATGAAAATGAAATCAAATGAAATTCAAGGAGATATCAGAGCTACATCCTCTATTGTGGCATAATATGAAACTCCAGCAGTGAATTCTAGCTGTGTATCTCTGATGTACCTGGCACTGATTTAGGTGCTTGGGACGTTATGAAGCAAAAAGAAATATTCCAACTTACACTCTAGAGAGGGGAAGAGGCAAGAGGCAGCAGAATTTGGAAAAGGCAGACAATAAACAATAGACATCATGAAGTAAATTATATAGTGCAAATTATATAGTAAGGAGATGGTAAGTGTTACAGAAAAAGAAAAGGAAAAACAGACCAGAATCGGTAATTAAGAGGGGACAAGGGTGATTACAAGGGGACAGGATGATTGGGGTAGACCTCGATTAAGACTATAAAAACAGTGCAAGAAGCAGCCATTTGGAAGTTACACAATATCTTCCTTAACATGCCACTGTTTCCTACTGACTCGATTTCCCGTTTTTGGAACTGAAATAATGATGCCCTTCAATTAAGGGTGAGGTAGTGATTATTAGTTTAAGGATCTCCTCTGCTGTGGAAAGCAGTGGAGGGAGAAGCAAGGACAATGGTACTGGGTAATGAAAAGAGCTTTCTAGAAGAACATCTTGAACCAGGTACATTTTCCCTATGTGAAAATAAAATGAATACTTTCCCAAATCCACTTGGGACATAAAACCAATAGTCACAAAACATTACAAATTTTCTAAATGCTACGTATTCACAGTGTTACTCCATCATCTGTTGTTTTGAATTATTTCTTAATTTTCTTCTATATATTGTTAAAGTGGATGTCAACATCTGCTTTAGATCATGGAACCCCAAAAGGCAAGAACTGGTCTAATTAACTATAAATGTCAGCATGATGCCATATATAGGTTGGCACACATTAAATACTATTTGATCATAATTAAATTAGAATTAGGAGTATATTTTTTGTCTTTCAATGTGAACCCAATTTAAAAACCAAAAAAGTCAAATACCTCAGAGCACTGAACCCAGAGCTGCACACATTTCCAAAGCACCCGTCAGGAGCAGTAGAACAGTGAAGAATGAGGTAAAAAAAAAAAAAAGATGCATGAAGCAGAGCAGAAATAACTTGCCTGGGTTTGGGCACTCGGCCTAATCACATGTCAGTATGTAGCATGGAGTACATCACTGACTATCTCCAAACCCGAGTCATTTCACCTGGGACAATTCAACAACTATTACCTCTTCCCTAGGTTCTTGTGTATTGGAGCTAATGAACGTAGAAGTAGTTGGCACCTTGCCTGATACATAAAAAGCAATAAAAGTTAGTCTTTTTCATGGCCAAATATTTTCCCTCTCTTCTGCACCACCCCACCCCCACTCACACACACGTCATCAGTGAGGATATAAATTTCTTGCTTTGAACTATAAGCAGAGTGGAGAGAGAGCCAAGATCTCTTTCCTCCTTCCCACCAACTCTGGCAGCCTCTCAGATGTGGAATCCCTGGTTATTTCCTTTCTCAAGGAGGAGATACTATTCTGGTTTGACAGATCCTTTCCTGGACACACTCTCAGAATTCCCTAAGGTTCTTATCGTGGCTGGAGGATAACAATGCGGAGACTATGGGAGTGAATAATCGCTCTCTCCTAGCTGAAAACTTCCTTTATTGACTTCTAACTTCCGGCCAGTATCTCACTGCCAAATCAACCCTTGTTATGGCAATTATTAGAAGCAATTTTCTTAACACTGAAAAGCACATTTGGCCTTCAACAATAAATCACATTAAGTTCACTTACTAGCCATGTAGACTAGTAGAATATTTGCAAAATTAAATTCCTCTCATTTCTGCTTCCTTCTTTAACCCTTAAAAAACCAAATGAAAGGGGGAAGAAATATCCTTAGTTGGCCCTTTAGCAAGACACTGTGAATGATAATAAGTATTAAGTTAATAAAAATGTTCCGTATTGGAGCCCGAGCAACAGCACAGCAGGGAGGGCATTTGCCTTGCATGCGGCCAACCCGGGTTCGATTCCCACCATCCCATATGGTCCCCTGAGCACCCCGGGGGTAATTCCTGAGTGCAGAGCCAGGAGTAACCCCTGTGCATCGCTGGGTGTGACCCAAAAAGCAAAAAAAAAAAAACAGTTTAGTATCTAGAATGATGACACAAAATACTCTTCATTGAAAGAGAAACTGAAAGCAATACAATGAAATAACTCGTTCTTGTGTGACTTGTGGTTAATTGTCCAAGTTTCCTATTATGCTGTATTGTCTATATCTATATCTATCTGTATCTCTATATATTCTCTATATCCCAAGCCCATAACACAGTACCTAGAACATAACTGGTCACCGAAAAATTTTTACTGAACAAAATGAGTAAGCTGCCATATGGTGTGACGCAAAGGACCAATATATGACCTTTAGTTCTTAAAAGACAAAACGTTCAGTCCTATTCTATGTGAACCATACTCCCAACTCTAGCATCTACATTTTTCGCTCCGAAATAGGAGAACAACTTCTTTTTGAAGCATTTCCGCTTGCTTGGCACATTATTCCCCACTCCCACCCCCTCCAGTTTTTCTTCCTTTGTTTTTTTGGACTGGGGATATTTGTATAAAAACGGAATCTTTGTTGCTTAGTAATTCATCTGTCTCAGCTGCTTGTGTTCTGTTCCCAATCAAAATTCTCCGTTTCCAGTCTACCCATCACGTCTGGAGGAGTCTGGCCTGGCCTACTCCTTCCTCCATCTCTGCCGAACACTGGGTCAGAGGCTCCTACGTTCTTCCTCTATTCACTCTGGGGCCATGTATCATACATAATAATCTCCAAAATGTTCAAGCTTCGATTTGTGGCAGGGTTACCGTCCAGGACAGAAAAGGCACAAACACAAGAGTTCCAAAGGCCATAAACACAGGGGTAAAAATCGCAAAGGGGCAGATGAGTCCATTTAGGTGGATAAAGAAACAAGCAACTCCTAACAGAGGAGAATAGATGTATATGGAAAAGCTGATCACCTATTACTATTAATTTAAGGCACTCTTTTTTTTAAGCCAGGAAGATGATGCAAAGGGTTGGAGCCCAGGTCGCAAGCTCGATCCCTGGACCTGCCCAGTGATCTGGAGTCCCACCAGGTGCCACCCTCAAGAACCAAGCCAGGAGATCACCTGAGCACCACTGAGGGGGCCCCAAACCAAAAAGACTTACTGAGAAACAAATAATAAGGTAGTTTTCAAATTGCACTATGTATTTTCCAATGTTCAATCCTTATCACGCCCCCTGTCCATCCCACAGACTCGTCTGTCTTTTCCCAGAGTTGTTCTCCTTGTTTCTCACTGTTTCTATAAAAAGGACAGTAAACAATTTCCTCGTCACTCATCATCATAAACCCTGACATGTTCAATTACCCCCCTGCCCAGTTTATGAACCAAAGTGGGCCCATAAAACTCCTCTCTCAGCAGCACCCAAATCCTCACTTCCCCTTTTTCCTGCTGGGAAGAGTATTTCCTGAACAGGAACCGAGCCACACCCGCCTGCTTATTTCTGGATGGAGATGCACAATCCCACACTCCCGGGACTCCAGAGAGACCCCGTACCTGGAAGGCAGTTGCATTCAAAAGTGAAGTCACCCGTCTGCTGGCAGGTGCCCCCATTCACACAGGGGGAGGGCGCGCAGGGCACGTAGGGCCGGTCACAGTTCTGGCCGGTGAAGCCCTGGGGGCACTGGCACTGGTAGGAACCCGGCAGGTTGAGGCAAGTGCCACCGTGCAGGCACTGTCCTGGAACTTCACACTCGTTGATGTCAATGTCACATTTCTGCCCTGTGAAGCCCGCCGGGCATTTGCAGGAGAACTGGTTGGCCATGGTGGTACAGGTACTGCCATTTGCGCAGGGATGAGACAGGCAGGCATCAGTCCATTGGCACAGCTTACCTAAAGAGAGGGGAACAGAGCTCAGTGGTGGGCACAGAAAGGAAGTCCTCCCTCTCCTTAACACTCCGCCTCTACCGACCTACCCACGACGACTCCGGGACATCTGGCCGGGCTTGAACAGAGGCCCTTTACATTTGACAGCAAGCCCAAGTCAGACTCCTCTTGAATCATCTGATCTAGACACTGTCCAGAGCCCTCAGTGAAGACACAAAGGCTAGCAGAGTACGTGAGGGGGGACCAAAGGTTCGATAGGTCCACAAGTTCCCATCCATTCCTACAGCACAAAAGGGCCTGGAGCACCAACTGTCCCACAACTTCGTGTCTGCATTAGTTGCTCCTCCCTGCAGAATGTCATCTTCCTTCCTCCAGCCCCCTTCTATACTCCCAGTTATCTTGACTACTCTATTCTTTTTGTTGTGGTGGTGGTTTGGGGGGGCTCATCCAACGATAAACAGGGTTAATCCTGGCTCTGCACTCAGGGATCACTCCTGGTGGGCTCAGGAGATGATATGGGACGCTGAGGATTGAACCTGGGTCGGCCACGTGCAAGGCAAGTGTCCTACCCACACTGTACTCCTACAGCGCCACCACTAAAGTCATCTGTAATGCCTCCCTCAGCACCCACACACAATCAGCACACTCGCATGCACGTCGCAAGCTTCTGTCCTTCCTTTATATACCTGTCATCTTGGCAGGGGTCAGATCCTCATAACAAGACTCTCAAATCACATTTACTGAACAGTTGAGGGATACTGATATTTTCCACAATATACGGCTACTAAACAGACAGCTTAGATGATAGAAACAAGTTAATCTCACTTCTAGTTCTTTTAAATACAACATGCATGCTTTCTGGAAAACACCAACATAACAATCTTGCTGTAGATATTACTTAATGAGATATTTGCCTGAATAGCTCAATATAGATATTGCTTAAATAGAAACTCTGGCTCCTTACATGTGAAAAGAACGAGAAGCTGTTGTGAGAATAAGGGTCTAGAAAGGTAACTCTTCCAGAGGGTCGCAGGCAGGAAAGGACCAGCAGAAGCAGAAGAGGAAGACTGTTGTACAGGACCCTAAGCCAGGACTCCAAGGAAGCAAAGTAGATTCTTCAATGGGGTGGGTGGGGGAGGGAGGGACGGAGGGAGGGAGAGAGAGAGAGAGACAGAGAGAGAGAGAGAGAGAGAGAGAGAGAGAGAGAGAGAGAGAGAAAGAGAGACCAGTACTTAGATAACTTTTTCCCCAAAAGCCTGAACTTTCTTTAGAACTAAAGCTATGAGAACCCTCCCCACCCCCCCAATCGGTTACTATTCCACTTGGCTATCTCTGTAGACATCCAAATATTTGACTATCACAGAAAAGCAAATGAAAGCAATGATAGATTTTTTAAGGAAGTAAAGAGTAATAAGGAAAATTTCTACTTTGAGCCTCTTTTGACCTCAGCCGACTGAGTTTGCGAAGCCTGCACGTCAGGGTTGGGTGGGACTAAAACGGTGGCACTGAGAGGCAGCAACTAATGATTCGGACAATGACACATGAACGGACTACAGAGGTTCCCTGGGAAGAGTGGGCACCTTATTCTGAATAGACTTCTCAAGAACAAAAAATCTTAACAGATGAGGTCATGGCAGTGCAGTAGCAAGATGAACTGTCAGAGTTCAGAAAGCCACAAAGCTAGTGCCTAGGGAGAGGGGCTTTTAACAAGCCATAAGAGCATCAACAGTTTACCTTTGGTGACAAGAAAAAAAAAATGCTGACCCCCCCCCCCCCATGTTAACAACACTTTAAGCAGTCAGAGAATTCTGAGTATTTGCACAATTTCCCCCGTCCTTGCCAGAATTCTCAAAATGGCATTGAGGAGAACTGTTTGATACTTAATAGTGAAGAGCCGCACACCAATGCTATATGAGAGTACCTGCTGAATTTAGGAAAGAGCACTCCAGAGTTTCATCTGTTACCTGTAAAACCAGTTTGGCAGGTGCACTCATAGGTATCCCGAGTAAGCATGTGACAAGTGCCTCCATTCAGGCAGGGGCGAGACATGAAGCAGGGGTGGGAAGTGGAGTACTGGCAGCTCTCGCCTGTGAATCCCAGGGCACATCTACATGTGGCTTTCCCCAACATGGCCTGAGGCACACAGGTCCCACCATTCTGGCAGCGATTCTTCTCACAGGGGTCTCGGTGTTGGCAATATTCTCCCAAGAAGCCCTCTGGACATCTGTATGGAAAAAAAAAGATTCCATGAAAACACTTGACATAAGCCCAAATATCAGATGATGCAGTCTATTAGAAAGCAAAACAAAACAAAAGTACAGAGAGCTAATACAGCGAGTAAGGAGTCTGCCTTGCACATACCCAACTCAGGTTCAATCCCCATTACTGCATTTGGTCCCCCAGCATGACCTGAGCACAGAGCCAAGAGGAAGCCCTGAGCAGAGGGCCAAGAATAAGTCCTGAGCACCTTCAGATGTGACCCCCCACCCACCAAACATCAAACAGAAAACCATTAAGTTATAAATCTTGAAACCTGAAGTTATTGTGAACAACTTCATAAAAGTAAAGTAAAGTAAAGTAAAGGCCCTCCCGTTGATCATCGATTTGCTCGAGCGGGCCCAGTAACGTCTCCATTGGAGACTTTGTTGTTACTGTGTCTGGCATATCGAATACTCTCGGTAGCTTGCCGGGCTCTCCGAGACTTCATAAAAATAAAATTAAATTAAAAAAGAAAGAAAGCTGAAGATGTCCCATGCTCTTTGGCGTCCTGGCAGGCGATGGAGCACCTAAGAGGCAAGCCAGGATCTTCCATGACCCCCAATATGACCCTACTTGAAGGCAAATTGCCACCAGAGCATTTTCCTTACAGCACTGCTGGCATTTAATGTTTAAATTCATTAACTTTCTCATTTTGACTAAATATTTGAAAGGAGTAGAATCTAGAAATGCATGAGCTGACCATTCCAGTCTCTCCAGTTTTAAGATGTATACAATACGGGGCAATTTCTCTCAAGAAAGCACTGAGAAAGAAGTTTCTTCTCTTTGATTCCAATAACCATCGGGTGTCCTATACTGTGCCTTCTAGATGATGATCAAATAGCCAGAACAGTGCTAGACAAGGAAAATGAGGTACAGGAATTGGGAAAGGTTCATTGTCACAAAGAAGAGGTCATGAAAATTGGACATCTAAGAAGCGTTTCAATAGAATACGAAGACTTCGATTCTGAGGCCAAATCAGCAGCACAATGGGTAGGGCATTTGGTCTTGCACACAACCGACGGGGATCAATCCTTGCCACCCCGTTGAATCCCCTGAGTACTACCAGCAGTGATCCCTGAGCACAGAGCCAGAAGTAAGCCCTGAGCACTGTGAGGTACAAACAAAACGAAACCCCAAAAACTTTGATTATGAGTTTAGCTGTCTTATTAGCGGTAAATAACTGATTCAATCTATTTTTCCATTTTCCTTTCTAGACAATAGAAAACTAAATCTATAAAACAGTTGAAGCATTACCTCAAAGATCATATTTTAGCCAAATTAAATATTCCTCCTCAAAATCAACTCCTATCATCCTTTTTTATTTCCCCAAAAATAAGGGCATGCCCAATGGACCGTAGAAGATGCAAGGTACCATCTGACAGTGCTCAGACCTGGTGGCTCAGCAGTGTCCAGGGACACCAGCACCACACCCAGACACATGGCGCTGTGGCAGGAATTCCGTGTATCATATATGGGAGGCACATGCTTGACAGCCTGACCTACTTTGCAGTCCTGTCTTGCCTTCCGATGCCCAGTCACCGGGCCCTGATTCTCCAATTACCCAGATTTGAAGCACGTGCTGCTCATGCCTGAATTTATCAGCCATTCCCAAATACCCAAGATGTTGCATTAGCTTTAACTGACAAGGTGAGGTCTTCAGAAGTCACAGTTATTAAGAAAAGGAGAGACAGATATCAAAGAACTAAGACAGAACATGCCCGGGATAATTACGCAGGAGGCAGAAAGAGGAAAAAGCATTAGGAACTATCATGGCAATGATGTAAATGGCCAAGGCCTCCTGACCCTTCCCAGAGCTGCACATCAAGGCAGAGGGAGAAGTGGCCAGAGTGCTGAATATCTTTATAAACCTACAGATGAAGGGACAGAGAGGAAGAAGCACAGCATTAAAACCAAAGACCAGATCTCTGCCCAGGGAGGAGACAGGCCGCTCTTCCTATGGCCAGAAGCCCGCTTGGATTCCTGGTGACCTTGGACAAGGTACTCAACCTCACTACTGGTTTTCTCACATTTTAAGTAGGTCATCAGCCTACTGAAACCATATAATTGTTACAAATATTGAACGAAATCAAGTATGTGAAAAAGCTTTATAAATATGTAAAACTTTTGCAAATGAAAAGTATTCTTTCTCCTTGTACTCGGCCAAGGAAAATGTACTCTATTCAAATCACAGCTTGATTTGATAATGGACGAGGTTATTTTCTGCTTGTTTTCTTTTTGAATGGGAGGAGGGGAAACCAAACCACCAATGTAGCACAGCTAAAATTAACCCTAAGCTAGATTATTAAAAGCACTTGCAATTGATTCAAGAAATCTGTTACGAATGATGTTGGAAACTGCAAAGACAATCCTCATTCACAGAGATCTCCTCTGGGCATTAGGCCGAGAGGATGACTCCGGACTCTCCAATATGGGAACTATTCGTTTGTAAATAATGGCCAACTTTTAAACCTGGGTGGGCTTTGCCCAGCTTTTCTTTTAGAGTATTTCATCACTACTTCCTCTGCAATACTACCCTGTGACATCTGCTAAGAGAATGCAACTTATTTAAATTTCTGCATCGTAACTTAGTATAATAAAGATGCAAGATTCCCAAGAAAACAGAAATAAACAACAGGAAACAGACTAGAATCAAAGAGAAATATTACTGACTCATGTATTATTAAGTTTTCATCTATGATGTTGTTTCCTACCAACTACAGAAAAATAGGTTTCACCTCAGATATATTTAAGAAATTGGTGAAAGTGGAGATTGGCAAACTACAATTCCGCTGACCACATTTATATAACCCGTGAAGTAAAAATGGCTTAGAGTTTTAGTGGTTGGTAAAAAAATCAAAAGGATAATATTTCATGACATTTAAAAATTATGTGTGGGGCTGGAGCGGTAGCACAGTGGGTAGGGCATTTGCCTTCCATGCTGTGCTACCGCAGACAACCCGGGTTCGATTCCCAGCATACCATATGGTCCCCTGAGCAACGCCAGGAGTAATTTCTGAGTGCAGAGCCAGGAATAACCCCTGTGCATTGCCGGGTGTGACCCAAAAAGCAAAAGTAAATAAATAAAAATTAAAATGCTGTGAAATTTGGAGGTGTTCTTTAAAGACTTCCTGATACTCTCACCCTCATAATACAGAGTCTGCGGCTTCTTCTGTATTACAGTAACAGGGTCATTGCTTTGAGATGACATGACATGACCTCTGAGATGAAATGACCATATTGTTTGGTGTTTTACAGGGAAGAAACCTTCCAACTCCTAAGGATATACTAAATCTAATTCTCTAAGTAGCATCTATAATGAGTTAACTATAATGATGAATGTTCTCACATCAGTTGCCATGGGAAAATCTTAATTTCACTCATCCAAGAAACAAATATTTGATAGGTGTCACTTATGTGCCAGGCTTCATTCTCGAGAAAATCCTTATGTACCCATGGGGCCTAATTCTAGTTGAAAACAAAACAAAACAAGAAACTGCTAAGTAAAATACATCAAGGGAAATGCTGTGAAAAAAGAGAAAACAGGGGGTCGAGGGACTGGAGCCAGGGATAGCAGAGGCTTCCAAAGCAAGATACCTTGGCCTAAAAGGAAAAGTCAGGGTGTTGTGGTTTGCAACAGAGGTACTGAGTGGCCATCGTGTTCGGTCTATAGTCTACTTTCAGCACACATCTCGCATTCTGAGCGAGTCCTCCAAACATCCTTTACTTGGTGTTCCCTTCTCTATCTCAGCTGCCTTTTCCCCCAGCACGTGCTGCTGGCTTCCAACCCATGGAGCAGACCTCCTGGTACTTATCTCAACTATTCTTGGGTGTTCGACTCCCCTTCTGTTACTTTATATTCCCCAGATGAGTGCGATCTTTCTATGTCTGCCCCTCTCTTTCTGGCTCATTTCATTTAGCGTGATACTTTCCATGTAGAATCACTTATATATAAATTTCATGACTTCATCTTTTCTAACAGCTGCATAGTATTCCATTGTGTAGATGGTCCAAACTTTCTTTAACCAGTCATCTGTTCTCTGGCACTCGGGTTTTTTTCCAAATTTGGGGTATTGTGAACAGTGCAGCAATGAACATAGAAGTGCAGATGTCATTTCGACTGGACTTTTTTGCCTCTCCGGAGTGGTATTGCTGGATCAAAGGGGAGCTCAATTTCTAATTTTTTGAGAACCGTCCACACTGTTTTCCAAAAGGGCCGAACCAGTCGGCATTCCCACCAGCAGTGCACCACTATTTTCTTATCTACTGCTGTTTCCTGCCTTTGTTGTCCTTCTGACTTTCAGCAAATACCTCCATTACAATGCCTCCTCAAAACAACAGTTCTAGTTCTATATATTCGATTCACTAAAGTCTTCATTCTTCCTTCCAATCTTCTCATACTGAATCCAAACATTTAAAGAGCTGTTTCATTTTCCTCTGACACCTTAATTCCTCCATTTTTCTAAAGTCTTTCTTCCACGACCTCAAAAGTCACTTCTGAATAATCCTTTTAAGTAATGTATAAAGTATTACCATATTCTGATAAGTCTTATTAAGTGATTTCAGTCATACTTATTCATAGTCACAGTTTCCTTTTTGATACAAATTCTGTTCTTAAAAGCCTTGGGTGAGACACCATGTTGTGGGCATTCCCTCCCCCCACACCCCCACCCCTATTCATTCTTAGAATACCAGAACTTTGAGGTTCATTATGCTAAATCTTGACACCATTTTCATGGTTAAAATAACATTCACATTTATTCATAGAGTCAATTTCTGCTCTATGCCACAGCTCAGAAATCAACTGGTCTAAAATCATTTTCTACCAATAAGAAGACCAAAACTAATCGACATACCCCAAGTTTGTTGTCTGTGCATCTCATAATCTCCTGTAGCTTTGCATCATCTACAACTATATCTCTATTTTTACTTAGATCTTTTGTCCAACAAAAACAGATTTAAACTGAA